CCTTCCCATTGCTTCTAACTTCTATTATGCAAATAACACAAAACACTTCAAAATATGAGAGGAGAGTTTTAATCAAGTAAACACCCCATTAGCTTACGCCATCAAAGCTGTGTGCACATCTTTCACATGCTAATGTGAATGCTAGTTCTGCAAAGACTAAAGATGTCCTAATCAGGGGACGGCTGCTAATGAGTCAAAGTATTGAGCACAGTGTTGACAATGTAGAAGAAAAAGAGCAGAAGGAGGATGAAGAGGAGGAAATCTGGCTGCATGAACTGGTCTGTGCTGCATTAGTGGGACTGTCCGTTGCCTACACACTGAAGTGCTCTAACATTAGCCTCTGTCTGAACGGCAGCACACTGGTTGAGTCACAGCAGGGGGAGGATTGAACAAACACTCTTGCAAGAAACACTGTGAATATTCTGGCTTTCCTTCCTAAAAGAAAATAGCTTTGAAATGTAGTTTTGGAATCTACAAATGTCTTTTATTGTGCTATACAATGACATAGCTCACACACAACAATAAAAATGAGAAATTAATGTTTTTTAGTAAGCGTGGGGTCATCTTTTGTGACCTTACAGGACCCTAATGATGACAGGAAGTAGGTGGTATCAGAAAGGAAGTGATGAGGAACAAAGGAAGGAAAGGAGTCCAAAGATAAAAGTGAGAAAAAAGTGAAGAACTCTGGAGCTCAGAAATCTGATAGGTAACAGCAGAGATCTTGTACACGTGATGCTTCCTGGACTCAGGAACACTTAGTGGGTGTAAGAAACAGCTGTGTGGAGGGAACAACCGCAGGGGCTGAGGGAAGATGACTAATCGACAAGTTGTTTAACTTAACTAAACATCTTATGCTCAAAAACTAAAATCAATACAACACCAAAAATATTAAGAATGAACATGTACAAGAATAAAACAAAATTGAAAAGTAAATAAGTAAACTCAAACACTTTAGGATCCTCAAATACTGTTCACTGTTTTCAATTTATACCAATAGTTTTAAAGAAATGAACCACTTGTACAGAATTACTGGCTGAAAAAAAGGTTAATTATGACATGTTTATTTGGAAAATGTTCTGATCAAGAACAAACATGAACAGAGGAAACAAGAGGAGTGTCACGCATCACTCTTTTGAAGGTCACACTGATATACACAAGAGTTGGTTAAGCTACAAGCAGCATGTCTGTCTAGCAGCTGATTCTACCATCTACCAGAGCAGATAGGCTATCTAATTAACCAGCTAATTAAAGTTTGTTTGACCAGAAGAAATATTTTTTATGACACTGTAAATATGATGACTAACTTTATTGTATTGGAAAAAGTAAAGTCTTGTGCTATTTTGGAAAATTCAGGGAATAAAACAAATCAGATCATATTATGTTTTCTTTCATCACTACACTGAAACCATGTTATCTTTATCCGTAGTTATTATATGAATGCCATGCCACCCAGAACCTAATGTCCAGCTCTCTCTTCCCATGTAACCTTAGTCTTAATGGATATGACCTTCCCATTGCCACTTTTATGCATGCAATCAGTCCCAGCCTTGCAGCGTCGTGTCACGTCAATACGTTCTGCAGCCTCTCCACAGTCACAAATAGGTGGTCGGGAGACAATACAGCACAGCAAAGTTCTCTTTGTCAGAATTCATTCAGTCACAACTGGGAACTGTTTGAGGCGGTGCACTATTGACCTCATAGTTTTATGGCCACTTTTACATGTGCAGTCAAAGCATCACGGCTCAAAATGCAAGTGTTTCCGCTCAGGGGAGAAGTCGAGGGGTTTAAAAAAAAAAAGTTTGCAGTGAATTGATTTTTTCGTACTAGGGAACAAGCCAGAGTCGAGCACAAACACAAACACGCCACCGTCGGCCGGACGACGGCCATCCACCTTATTGATCCTCTCTGCCAGCAACAACAGAGTCATTTGCCATCGGGGATTTGTAACAGCCATTACGTACCGACCGATCTGGGGGGGAAAGAGGGTGAGGAGCGGCATTGTCCTGTTTTGTTTACTCCAACCCAAATCCATAAAACAATCGCAAAAGACGAGCTTTGACCTACCACTAATTACTCCAACCCTTTCATCATTGCCTCTCTCTGTCACGTCTCCAAGAAAAAGAAAAAAATACAGAACATCCTTTATAACATCTCAGTCATCATAACACATGCTAATATTTTTTTCTCAATCGATGATGCGAGTTGTGGGAAAAAGCACAGCTTGGACTTTCCTTCAGTTCTTGCCAAAATAGATAGGTGTCACATCCTCATCACAACATCCAGGGGAAACATCAACACCTGCCAAGAAAAGCAGGCCATTATGCAATCCCGCAGGCTATATATGTAACCGTGTAGGTTGGTGCTCTTTGGAGTCACCGGCTGACCTGGCTGGTCTGCATAATGAGCCACTCAATGTTCTTTGTCAACTAGTGAGTATTATCCTCAGCTTGCGTCAGCTTTTCACACTGAAATTAATCTTCTGATTATCACGGTTTTTCTTCTGATCCCTTAAAAAGGAAACCCATAAGCTCCTCCCGAACACAATGGAGTTTGGATTCGGTCTGTGTTAATTCAGGGGGAAAAAAACGTTGTGTTTCCCACCAGAGCCGGACGATCCCAGCAGGTAACGTGCGTGTCTTCCTCAGCGCCGCCTGCTGAAGTGCCCTTGAGCTGAGCACTGACCCAACAGCTGCTCCGGTGTAATTACTCAGCTGCCAGCAGAGCAAGGTTGCAGTGGAACCCGGGCGGCTTCGTGGCGTGAGACTGTGAAAGTGTGTCAACCTGCCTGTGGCAGCGATTGCTCCCCTCCGGCTGCTGCTGCTGCTGCACGCCAGACTCCGCTAAATGCAGTTTGCGAGCACCGCTTACCGACAATACGACAGCAGTCCACCTACAGGACAGCCGATGGGGGGGCGTGAATGTGGGAGACGCCACTGCGTTCAAATTTCCCTTTCTTTTAGCAGGCTTGTTCTCACTTCACTAGCTTTCGCAGTCATCTCTGAGACAGCTGACAGAGTTAAGAGAGCTGTGGCTGATCTTCGAGCGCAAAGTGTTAAGTGCTGTTGGTGGGAAGAGAGATAACAGATTAATTCTCCAGACAGGACTCAACACCCTGCACGGCGGAGCAGGGGGGCACGTCGTGCAGCTATCAGGCAGCGTCACGCTCCTCGCTCCTTCGTATCAAATCCATCATGTTTGGGGAGACTGCCACGCAGATTTCACCAGGACAAGGATGGCACAATGAGCTATTTATATTCAGAGATGTAGACAGAGACACCTACAGGCTAGGATGCTGAGGGAACCTTATGTGATCCTCAAGGTTGCCTTACGAAAATATATTTTAGGGATTTAATGGGATAGATCAATAGGAATCAAAACCAAGCAAACTGAAAGGAAAATGACACGTGGTTTTCAAATCCCTTTGTTATGCCTGTATTCAAAACCCCTCTTTACATTTGACCCCAAAATAAAATCCTCTTTAACTCTGACGGATCTGTAGCGCTCCAAAGCTAGGATTGGAAGAACATGCCACATTATTTGTAGAATGAGTAATTGTGACATGGAGACCAAATTTTACGCAGAAATATTTCAAACGTGGGAAGTATTTAGACTCTGAGATGCACAATGTATAGAGTGGATGAGTCAGTTAGGGGTCAGATTTAATGATCACTGGCTTCTTCCTACTCCTTTTCAAACTGAATAAGAAAGTTTTATGTTTTGGTGTAATTCCTATGTTTATTTTCGTATTATTTTTCTCCTCTGTTATCATTGGTGTTTTTATGTGTTCGAAATAAAGATTTCATCATCATCAAATCTGGGATTTATAGAAGAGAGGCACCATTGCTTTAGCCCTGAATACACCATACTCTTAAATAAACATGGCAGTGGCTACATCATGCTGTGGAGACGTTCTTCTTTAGCTGGATTCATGGGAAGTTTGGGTAAAACAAAATAGACTTGCTTCCAGCATCACAACAACTCTGAACGTACAGTCAGGCCTAGTCAAAGTCCAAACCTGACAATCTGAGGTCAGAGTTAAATTCCAAAATTCAAGTAAATCTGGTCTATTTTGCAAAAACAAACTGGCAGAATATACAGTCTCAAGGTGAACAAATCTGGACAGCAGATACCTTTAAAAAATTGCAGCTCCATGTTGGTTTGTTGTGTGAAATTTCAATTAAATACGGTACATTTTGTGGTTCTAATGTCAGCAAATATGAAAAGGTTCAAAGGGTATGAATTCTTTTACAAGGCATTGTGTGACTCCGGACGTTGATACCAACATGGACAGCCACCCATAAACCATGAAAGCAATGCAGAACAAAGTGGAGATCTAAACCTTTATAACTAACTTAAACCAGAGCATAATTTCCAACTTAAACTATCGAAGTTAGCAGGGTAAATAAAAACTGATGTTCATTCTTTAAGTTGATGGGGGGTTTTTTAACTTAAGACATCAAAAGCAAATTTTTAATCATTCATAACTTATTTAATGTGCTCTTTAGCACAATTTGAATATGTTGTGGACCTTTGTAACCCACTAGAATAATTAATCTCCCCTGTTCGACATGAACTAAAATGCTTTTTATCACTCCTTTTTAGTTTGTCATACTACAACCTAAGAGCTGCTTATTGTCTTAATTATTCACTCGCTTTGTTTCCAATATAAGGCCTGCTTGGCCAGTTAGAGACCATCAGGTTTCATGATCCAGCTGGAGGATTCTGGATGCCATAAGCGAGAAGCGAAGGAATCACGCCAGACGCTTTGGCAGTAGTTTTGCTCCTTTCTTCTTTTTTTTTTTTTTATAACCACGAGTGTCTTTATAAACCTCTGTGCAATTGTTTTGAATACAACACAGACAGCATAACCTTTGTGCTGTTTTGTGTTTTTCTTCAATAATTGCGGTAATTTTGTATTCATCGAGGGGAGGACATAAACAACATAGGGGAGAGAAGGAGGTAAAACCAAAAAACAACAAACCGACAAGACAATTACTTACAGGCATGTGTGACAGAGAAACTGTTGGAGGACTCCAAGTTGTCAACATTATAATTGAGGTGGAAAGGTTTTTCTGTCACATTCTGGTTGGTGTTGTAGAGCTGGACAGCAAACCTAAAGGCGCTGTGCTCCTGCACTGTGGAGCGCATGAACAGTCCACCTGCAGGAAACGTCACACACAAAAGTGCCTGTCAGATTTTAGAAAGAGCTAACAGCTTCGTTTTGTTTTATTCTTTATCAGCTAAATGCTTTGCAAACATTTCAGATCAAAGCTTCTCAATAAATATGTAACAATAAACCTCTGCTATTAAGTTTGATCTTTTGAATGATGGGCCTGTGTGCTTTCAGAGCACATGGCTGAGATTGTGGAGCTAAAGGAGCGTGGCTTAAAAATCACAGCATTCAGGTGATTCTAGTTAAATTTGTTACTCGCCATCCTCAACGTTTAAGGGTTAGAAGGTTTAAAAACATTGGAATTGGTTTGTGCAATGTAAAAAATGTAAAAGCTGTTATGGCTACATTACTGGCTCCATTGTCCCCTTAAAAAATGCCTTGTACTTGAGATTTGTATCCACCAGGACCATTATTAATTTACTGGAAGACCAGCAGAGTTTTTTTTTAATAAGCAAATGTGTTTGTTAAATAATGTTTTAAAAAATATGCCAATAATCAACCAATTTAATTTGCTAGTGCGTGCTTAGCTGGTTATACAAGGGTAACATTCCTCAAACAATTGGAAATAGCTTATATTTTAATGTCTGGACAAAACTTAAGGTAAAATATTCTCTACTGCTGGTTCTAAGACTGGAAATATAATATCCTACAGCAACAAACACACTTTTGGCTGAAGAAATGCCTTATAAAATTCATCTATTGATCACTTATTTGGACCACAAAAAATTCAGACATTCATAATTTAATGTAAATGTCTGAAAAAAAGATCATACATATGTTTCTATATATACTTTAAAGAGTTCATTACCCATCAAAATGAGTGGGCAGGGCCTAACACTGGCATTGAGAAGCTGATTGGTCTGCAGTTGACTTGGTGCAGATTAACCAATCAGACATCGGGTTTTATTTGACGAGCCATAGTGACTATTAATATTGCTTGATGATGGACTGCAGCACAGGTAACAAGAAATAATTCAGTATTAAAAGGCAAATGATCCTCGCTTTCCTCACTGATTTTAATTCATTCTTTGCAAAACAATTTTTTAATGGTGCAAAAGTGACAAATTAAACAGTTGTCATATATTACATGAACTATCATTTTATTTTAAACATCACATCTAAAAATATTTATCCAATCAAATAATTATTTATTGTGTTCTGACAATTTTAGGCCCTCTTTAGATTTCAAGTTAGTTATTATCATTTAAATTTTTTTTATAATGATTTGTTAAACTGGGGACTATCAGGATTTGCCCTATTTTTATTATTATTATCATTATTATTACTATTATTATTATTATTAATCTGAGATTGCTTGGGTACAAAGAAGTGGACTAAGTTCGCGGTCGTCTAAGTGGACGCCAAAAAAAAAAAAAAAAAACAAAGCTCGTCCTTGATGGACAAACGTGAGCCGAGTTGAACTTACCGATGTTGATCTGGTTCGGAAACCCCGCCAGCGAGTCCCCGACGAGCTGAAGTAAAACCAGGACCGCCGCAACTCTGCGACTCCACATTTTTCCCCGAGAAGTGAAATCAACTCCTGGCGTGTTTGTGGGCGAGGAGAAGCAGGGAGAACCATGAACACGGACTGGAGCGCAAAGAAATCCACAAGATGCGGCGGCGGATCTCTCTCTCTCTCTCTCTCTCTCTCTCTCTCTCTCTCTCTCTCTCTCTCTCTCTCTCTCTCTCTCTCTCTCTCTCTCCCTGTGTGCGCCCACGTTGAATGTGTGCCAGCACAACTGCAGCGCCAGCCCACTACTACTGCCGCCGCTGCGGCTGCTCCTGCTCTAAGATCCTGAAGCCAAATGCTTTATCTCGAAGATGGTGGTGGTGGTGGAGTGGAGCGCAGGAGTCGGGCCACCGGATCTCCTCACTGTGTGGATGGAGACCACTGAAATATGGGCCAGAGCGAGAAAGAGGAGGAGGAAGGAGGGAGAGGAAGGGTGGGAGGAGGAGGGAGGAGGTGTTTATCAAACTTGTTCTGACGTTGAATTATAATAAGTGCAGCCTTCCTCCCCGCGTCACTGCAGTGTGTGTGCGCGTGTGTGTGGGGGTGTGTGTGGTGCAGAGGCTGAGCGGGACGCAAAGGATCTAAAGGGAGCAACGATATACCACATATATATGTATATATATATATATATATATATATATATAATATATATATATATATATATATATATATATATTATATATATATATATATATATATATATATATATATATATATATATATATAAGTATGTTCTTTCCATCTTCCCATCCGTCCATCCATCCCAGCATCCTTCCCTGTTGTGCGTGTGGGTGCAGTGTTCACTGTTCTGCACAGCATAATCCTGCGCTGTCCCCTGCAGGTGTTTCAGAGCAGAAACTGTTGCTGCGGGGCCAAATGGGCTGATTTATTCCCGTTTAATCACAGCCTGTCTAACCATCTAACAGATGTTATATATTAAGATAGGAATAGAAGCATAGAGTGATTAAAAAAAATAAATAAATGAACGGAGGGAGGGAGGAGCTTCAGGTTGGTTATTTGGATTGGCAATTTCTTTATTTCTTAATAAAGTAATGGGGGTCGTTGCAAGACATAGTGTGGCACAGTTATGTTGGGACAGTGAAGCAGGACAAGAACGAAGGACGTTTAAAAGTGTTTGATTTGCGTAATCAAAGATGCATGAAAGGTTTTTTTTAAATTATTTTTTTATTATTATTTTCTGTGATGAATTGTGCTGTTTTATCATTAGTTACTTTTGTAATAATGATATTCAGTGGTACTCAGAAGCTTGGAAACTGCAGCTTGGAGGAGGAGTTTTGTCCTTTAAGGCGGGGCTTGGTCAGCTGAATGGTTGCTATGGGATATGAAAAGATTTCTCACACATGCGTGAAATAATCACATCGACACACCAGGTAAGTTTTTGATGAGAGCATGCAATTACAACATTACATAAAGCCCCCCCCCAAGAAAGCATAACACTGCCCCTTTAAGCATTAAATCAGATGTAATGAGTAATTACTCAATACTTGGGTAGCCATTTCACCAAATACATTTGTACTCTTACTTGAGGATTTTCACTGGATGGCAACTTTTTGCTTTTAATTTAGTAAAAGCAAAAAGTTGTAGCAGTAGTGCTACTATTACTTGAGTACAAATCTGTCACTGCACATGAGGACATAATAACAGGATATCTGAAACATTATTAAAGAGGATTAAACCCAAAAAAGAAATTATATATATATATATATATATATATATATATATATATATATATATATATATATATAATATTATATATATATATTATATATATATTTTTTTTTTTTTTTTTTGGCTGTGCAAAAGGTCTGCACATTTCTGGCCTGAGATGTCTGATGTTGTTCCTGGGATCTGTTGCTCCAGTTTGGGGGTGACTAGAACACTGAGCTACTAGTTGTTTAGCGCTTAGTGTTGACTGGGGATGTCGAAGTAACCATTCCTTCCCCAGTCTTTGCATGTAACCTCTCTCACTAGGGTTACTTGAGTAGTAGCATTCCAACAGATCCACATTTTCATCTCTCGCCCATTTCCGTCTTGTTCCAGTAGCCCATTTGTCATCAAGGTGCTCTGGTTCCCCAACATCTGACGCAGACCTTGTTTGGCCGGGCGACGTCTGAGCCGGCATGTTACGCAACTTAGTGTCTCTCATGGTATGAGGTAGGCAGTAGCTTGAAGGGTCTTGCCTATAAGTCAGCTGAGGTTCTCTACTAGTACAACTAATTCTACCGAATAAAAAGAGGAGAGAGGCTGAAGTCCAGTACAGTGCACATAAAAAGGGTCATTTTTAATAAAAAAAACATAAATAATAAATCCACAGTAAAGATTTTTCAACCCAGGAAAGTTCTTCTGAATTCAGGTGAGCCGTCTCAAACCACACTCTGCACCTACATACCAGGATCCTCCATAATGTAAGAGTCTGGGAATTAAACTGACCTGCCTGCAATGCAGACCCGTACGTGGTGCATTGTGGGACGAGAACACATCAAAGCGCCGTCGGTAGTGCTGCAGCTCGACCTCTTCATCAAAAAATGTTATGTTGGGCTCCGAAAACTGTCACAGAATTGCCTTAAATGGAACAGTAAGTCCCACCTTGTAGGGCTGCTTTACTTCCCGTCCTCACATGTTCCTCTAGGTGAAACTATTAGAAACCATCTAAAAAGCTTCCCTATTACATCAAATGTGAATTTTCATTGTTTGCTGTTCCGCTGTTTCTTTTCATGTCTTATAGCACTTTATGACTTAAAACACATTATGATGCTGCAGTTTTAGTAAGCAGTAAAAAAAAAGACTTTACGCTGAAATACCCTGATTAGATTCCTCCAGCTGAACTTCCACTCGGGTGAACATTTATCTCCCTAATGATATGGAAAGTTAAATTCTTTTATCCACTCTAGTATTGCTTACTCACTGCAGGAGGCTGATGTAATTTGATAGATGAGCAGCAGAAATGCAAACTGATTGTGTAAATGAGGCTCATGCAAAGCACACACTCACTAGAATCATCTGCACATCAAATAAACCTCAGACGCAGAGCTTCACTACTCACTAAGCTGCAGTCTCCTTGCTACAGATCTGCACGTTAATACATACTCCGACTCTTTTCTGTTTCTGGAAGTTGAGCGTGTCCGCCGTGTGACGTGGAAGCAAGCCGCAGTCGGTACACCGATGCATCTGTTTCTGAAAGTGGTAACCTTATTTTATAAATAGCAACTGCTTGTTATAACCCTCAGAATTATGCACACAAGTTGTAAGCCTAAGGGAGTGAAGCGGCCTAAATACAGGCACATCCAGTGTGAAAATTAGTTTTCAGAGATTGCCCGTCTGCAATCAAACGCATCAGATACAATTTAACTAAGTCATCAAAAAAAAAAAAAAAAGTCCAATTGCTGACTTTTAATTAGTTTAGAATCAATTGTGAAAATGCAGACAGTGTTATTGTATGAGACCTTCATAGTACAGATGTGAGGCTTTGTAAGGACATTTTGTACAGAGTTTGGCTGCAGAGTTTCAGAGAATCAGGATGATTCAAGTACAAGTGTATTATGCAGGTTAGTCAGAATCCACAGAAACATGGTCTCACTGAAGTTGCATCTTTTTTTCCCATTGATGACGGCACCGTCTGTCTGAAATTTCAGAGATTGTCTGTAAATCAATAACCTTCAGTGGCTAAAGCACATTTGTTGTATCCTACAGTGAATTGCTGCAACAGTCTGTGTCTTAGACATCAACCTTCACATCTTTAGATCCCAATGGCTGGTCATATTTTCTTTCAGTGCACATGGTTATTGTGCTAACGCCGGCATATTAATTAATGTGCAGAGTAAAATTTTATGAACCAGACATAAAAATAAGCAATAGAAGACTTATTTTAACCTTCATCCCGCTTCATTATGAAATAGAGCCCTGGGTGGAACGCCATGTCAGCTATTTTAAAACATCTATCTGTCTGAAATGATTAGCTTTGCCTGACATCTCTTAGATTTCTTTCTGGCTCAGAAAAATGTCATTATAAAAACAAATCCTGAATCTAAGTTTGTGTTTGTGTGATAGCGTATCTTTTGTGACATTCTTTTGTGATTTAACAGGAAGCATTCATGTCCAAAAAAGACAAATGGTACTTTTAGGTCAAACCCAGCAGAGCAAACTTTTTGTTTTGGACTTAGCCAATGATAAATAAAAACCTGTTGAGTTTTTAAAACTTTTTTTTTGTTTGATTGCCAATCGATGGAAGATAAAAGAAGGCATCATCCTTCCCTGTAAGGTTAAATGATTGCACACAACAGCCTTGTTGAAGCAATCTCCCTTTTACCCCTTCAAAAAACAGGAGCATGTTAGATGTGAATTCCTTTGAGAACCGCACAGATCGTCTCAAAGTTGCTTCGCACATTTCTGTGCATTCAAAAACACAAACACTAATTTTATCCACTGAAATGCTGATCGCAAGCGCTCTCATCATTTTTAACACTATCATTTGCTGCAACAATGACTGTTCTGGAAACATAAAACCAGTCTGTCAGTAAGTCCTTGACCTGCCTGCTGCCGTAATGCGTTCCTGTTTCATCTCATGCATCCTTTTGCTGTATTACAACAACAAACAGCAGCATATGCGAAGGGGAGCCTGCGGCCACGTTTTTCCTGTGGAAGAGTGAATCACAGTCGTCTGTTATAGCAGAGCTCATTTCTTCAAATCTAATGCTGACAGATATTGTGTGCAGATGGCAGAGACGATCTTCCACATCACCTCAGTTCAGTGCGCGGCAAAGTATGTCTGTTATAATAACAAAAAGTAATAATGCACCACTGAAAATGACAATAACACTCCAAGCTGTGAGCGACTTCAGAAGACAAAATAGCAACTTAATAAAAGAAAAAATACTTTGAAAAAAAAAAGATTAGCAGTAATTTTAAGAGAAATAAATCTGTCAGAAACTGCATTTGCACTTTAAAGCCTTATTTGAGACATAGAGAGAACTAAAAGAGATACAGATGAAGGATATTATGAAACAAATTGACAGAACCATAAGATAAATTGCTTAGGTACAAAAATATAATGACCATTTTTATTATCAGTGTATTAATCTCTCTTCCTCTTTATGATCTTCAAGGCTCATGAAGCCCGTAGGAGGTGGGCTTTGATTGTTAAGATCCAATTGTACAGCATTCCTATGACAGGCTGGCGACCTGTCCAGGTGACCCCGCCTCCCGCCCAGAGCGTGCAGCTAACACCAGCACCTCCCGACCCCAGTAGGGTGTTAGAAATGGACGGACGGATGGACTGATGGACGGATGGATGCACGGACGTACAGCATTCCCATTTTAACCCATACATCCATTTTGATCCAAATCAATTCATTGTACCTCTGGATCCATATTACAGTTATAATTTTAAAAT